TTTGTTCCAAGAGTTTGAGGAAGAGGGCAACATATTATAGACAGTGGAAATTCACTGAATTCGCTTGTTAATTTTTAACAGGAGAAGTTTCTTATTCAATCTTCATTGAAGCTAATTTATATTCAGATTAGGTTTATTTTTAATTGTAACCATGTTACATTATATGCGTGCATTATCAGATATCCGGCGAACACGGATTTCCTATTAATTTCGATTAGATATGTATTTATCAATGTTCTCAATATAATACTTTATAGCACTCTAGCCATGAGATCATTCGTGAAATACTATACAAAAATACAGTTGTAATAACATATAATTAACTAGTATTTGCCCGCGACTCCGACGGCGCAGATTAACAAAAAAAAACTTAGTAGGATATGTGTTCTTCCTATGTTCTACATTTGTGCCAATTTTCATCCAGATTCGATGAGCCGTTCAGGAGATACCATCTAACAAAGGTCTATCCATCCATTTAAACTTTGGCATTTTTAATGATACTAGCTGTCGCCCGCAACTCCGTCCGCGCAGAATTAAAAAACCTTTATTAGTAGCCTATGCGTTCTTCCAGGCTTTATTCTACTTCTATGCCAAATTTCAGTGTGCTCCATGCAGCAATTCTGGAGACATTTTTTTCTTGTGTCGAAACGTCATCATCATCAGCTCACTATAGGTCCCCACCGAGGGGCTCGGAGCCTACACTAAGTGAAGGGTGATTAGGCCATAGTCAACCTCGCTGGCCCAATGCGGGTTAGTGGACTTCACACATATCTTTGAATTTCTTCTCAGATATGTTGCATCACGATGTTTTCCTTCACCGTAAGAAGGTCGGATAAATGTACAAAAACACATTGGTACATGGCGGGATTCGAACCCAGGACCTGCAGATTGCAAGTCAAGTGCTTGACCCCTGAGCCACCGACGCTCTGTCGGTGTTGAAACGTACTGATAAATAATATTAAAAATATATTCATGTTACATTCCGATCAGTTTTACTTTTTTATTCCAAGAAAAATGTTTAACAAACAAAACACGAATTGTATTGTACTCAGGCTACAGGTACTAGGTATAAGTTGGTAGAGACGTAGTTAAACGAATTTACTTTGTCTTGTATTGGTAACAGTCGACGTCTAGACAGTTTTATATAGGAGACATGTTTACCTAGAATACGGCTGTTGCTCCGCATTTTATTGATTCAATCTGACTTCTTACTACTATAAATGCATGTTTTTATTATAGATGGATGGATGTTTAAACTTATATAAAAACGGCTAAAGCACTCACGTATTTTCGTCCAGTAGTGGCACCGACTTGTTTCGAGCCCATCAGGAGCGATGGACCGCGTCCAGGAAACAATACCAGTCCCATTCACCCTGATGAAAGTCCCCGATAGGCTCGTAACTAATCGGTGCCGCCACCGGATGAATATACGTTAGTGTTTAGCCGTTTTTATATAAATTTATTATAGTGTCTTACTAAAGGATCGATGTTAGAAAGTATCTCCAAAACGGCTCCAAATCTAGATGAAATTTGGCATGGATGTAGAACATAGTCCTTAAAAACATTAGGTTGTTTTTGTAACTCTACTTGGACAGGGTCGCGGGCGACAGTTAGTTGAATAAATAAAGGAAACGACGGATATTTTAGAGTTGAAAAGAACATAAACTAATTGAATCCATATGATGCTGTGCCAAAATCAAAAGCTTTAAAATAATATTAAATATTGTGGAAGTTTCAAGCGAAAAGCGTCCATAAAACTGTTTTTTTTTAATTGTAAGGCACAACCTTATCTCTTTGTCATCCAGAAAATACGAAATATTACTATCTTCTTTATTCTATCAGACAATACGCTTTAAGCTCTAATTAATGGCTTGTTAAATGCCAGAACGTTGTTGGCTATATTAATAAAAATGAGTACTTTAATATGTTTGTCCACTAAATCTGTCTCTTGGATATCGTAGTAGAGTTATTGATTAAGCAACCAAACAAGGAAAACCGAAATAATTCCGTATTTTATTGCTTTGTTTACTACGTTTTCTTAACTTGTGTAATCAAAAGTTTACTGTTTATACGATAAAATAGCGAAACTAAGTGCATAAAGTAAACTATTATTATTATTAAAAATTGTTGTCACCCTCATTGCTGGTGTAAATTGTCGGCCTTCATTGTCGAAAATACTTGGGAATAACCAATGGATATTGTTGGATATAGTTGCTTTATTGACTTTTATGAACAGATTTATAAGAACAGACTAGCGGTCGCCCGCGACTCGGTCCGCGCGGAATTAAAAAGCATAGTTTGTGTTTTATAGGTATGCCAATTTTTATCAAGATCGATTCAGTCGTTCTAGAGATACCTTCAAACAAACATCCACCCATCCAAACATTCGCACTTATATTATAATATTAGTAAGAAGTAAAATCATAGGATGGATGTCACACACTTTGATTCCTGACAAGTATAGTGTTAACATCCCAAAATACGTCCCCACCGAGGGGCTCGGAGCCTACCCTGAGTTAAGGGTAACACCTTTCTTAGTATAGTATAATTTTTTTTTTAATTTCAGTTATTTAAAAGCAAAATGCAATTTATCTTCATCGCGGTCACGTCAGTTAAATTGTACTAACGAATTACTTCAATTACATCTTAGTTCCTTTGTGACCTTGAGACTTAAACGTCAAGTTACATTTTCTTAATGACACAAATATGTCATGTAATGACAGTAATTTGTTCTTGATATAACATTGTGTCTGTAGATATTGTATTTGTATTCGTATAGGCTAAATATATAACTATGTTTTTTTTTTAAAAACAATCGTATATTTTGTGTTTGTTTAACCAACATTCAGTATCATCATCAGCTCACTATACGTACCAACTATGGAGCTCGGAGCCTACCCTAAGTCAGTGACTAGGCTATAGTCAACCAAGCTGTCTCAACGCGGTTTGACATCACACATATCTTTCAAACTCTATCTAACCTACCTTAAAGTAACAAAATTTAATCATGTTTGATGTAAACGCTTGAGAAACAAAAGAAAAATATAGTATTTCTTTTCATAACACTAAACAATACAGTGAAAGTTGTAAACGTCAGGGCCGGGTAAATAATACAACAGTCGGCACGCGATGTTCCACAAACGTTTATCAGGACAACAGTTTTTCATTCATTAATGGGCGTAGTTAGGTACATTTAATATACTAAAGAATCTACTATAGAAAGCTAATATAAGAAATTATATTTTAACTAGCCATCGCCCACGATTCCGTTTGGGCGGAATTAAAAAAAACTTAATAAGTTACGTTTGTGTTCTTGCGTATCTTCTACATCTATGCCAAATTTTAACACAATCCGTTGATCCGTACCGGAATATACCTTCTAACAAACATCCAAACATTCAAATTTATAATATTAGTATTATAAGATGTATTCCCCTTAATATTTAGTATCTGTTGGACCCTTTGTCAGGTACTTAAGCTTAAGTCTTACTAGATATCTACACTAATGAACGCCCTTAGTGACATTTGAAGGATGGTTTGTTAGGGGAATGAAGTTCATATGAGTATTTTCTAACAGTGACTACAAATAGTATAAAATTACACACTAAAATCCAAAACATTTATTCTTAATTACCAGCACATTACCTAATGGCTGAATAGCGTGACAACTATCTGCATTGGACAATTTGTATGATTAACCGTGGGTTTCCGAGTCCAAAATCCCCGTAAAAATCATATTGTTTTATCTGTGTGTCTAAAGGTATTGACAGGGATGTCGATATGTTTTATACAAGGATTTGGTCTCAGAAACCTAACGTAAAATATGTTATATTATATACTGATAAGAGATAGTAATACAACCCTATCTATCCTTTTCCAATATTATATTTAAGCAAATGCAACTTGTATGTATCAAAGGGCGTATCCAAATACATATCAAACGAAGTTTCGACAGAGTGTCAAAATAATAAAATAAATTAATACTAACTTCCAGCTTGACAACATCCCGCGTATTTGAGAAAAGAGGTCTTGACAGACAGACGGACGGCCGACAAAGCGATGCAATGGGGGTTCCATACCTCATAGGAAAAAAACGGAACCCTTATAGGATCACTTTGTTGTCGGTCCGTCCGTCTGTCAAGACCCTTTTTCTCAAAAACGCGTGAAGATATCAAGCTGGAATTTATTTTACTTTCGAGGTACGGGACCCTAAAAATGTGAGTCTTCAAATAAAGTCGAACGTTGCTAATATTATAAATGCGAATGTTTAGATGGATAGTTGCATAAATGTTTGTTTGAAGGTATCGCCAGAACGGCTGAACGGATCTCCATAAAATTTGGGACAGAACACATGAGCTACTAATTAAGTTTTTTTTTAATTCCGCACTAACGGAGTTGCGGGCGACAGCATGTAACTCTATAAGCTAGTGTCTGTCTGGTCTAGATAGACGACTGCCATAAAGCGTGAAACGGTCCCTTAAACTCTCGTTTATCCTGATTCAACTTATTTCATACTTGAATATTGACAAAATTAACTCTGCTGTCACAAAATTAAACGATCTTATTTTGTTTTATACAAGAAATTTGCAACAACTCAATTTGAAACATGACAGATGGTAAACATAATTTGTCTTTGTAAAAATTTCGCTCACGCAGTCGCCCTTGACATTATTGGCATCATTCCAAAACCCGACAACAGTAAATATTTCTTTTTTATATCCAGAAAAGGAATTTAACATTTTATCGTGTCCCAGTTTAATAATAATTCTTGTTTATTCTTATTATAAAAATATATTTTGTATAGAAATAACTAAATTACAGTAATAATGTATTTTATACTTTTGGCAAAAATTTACGCGTAAATCGAAATTTATTTAAATTGCATAATCAATGACTAATAATGTTCCTATAATCTATTTCTTTATGCCATTTTTTGATATAAAAATATACATATTATAAGTTTGTTTTCTAAATATAATTTAATTAATTAAATTATTTAGAAGTGTCAAAAATGCAACATTTAATATTCGACAATAACATAGACAATAAAAAAACTAAATACAGACTATAAATGTGTTCAAAATGGCGTCGGAGAATATCGAACGCGTTCCTAAACTGTGTACTTATGAAGAAACTTAAGACTGCAGTCAGGAAGTGGCGAAGTATGCGCCTCTTCCGAAAACGAGACGGTGAGTTGAATAACGTTTTAGAGGGAAAAGGACAAAAGATAGGACACATGAGTTATCGAAAACTAAGTCCCTATTTCCACTAGACTAGCCGTGCCATTCTTCACAACTATTGATTTCTTTATCAGATTTGTCAACAACTCGTCAATTATCTATCGATCAACCGTCAACATCTGGCACACCTGCACATCTACAACGAACCATACCAGCAGATTTACAATTGGTGAGTAAAATATTCAAAATAAAGTGTTCGTAGTCAAACGAAAGGATCGCCTACATGTTTAGGGTTATGCATTAGTAAACTACGCTAAACCAGTATGGATTAGTTGACATCTTTGAATGTATTTGCAGATATATGCAGGTTACATTATTTTATCTGTCTTCATCGTAAGATATTATGTAGTGAAAAAGTCAAGTTTCAAAGTTAAAAAAAAGTGAAGTTTCGCGAACATCGCCCGGTTACTACAAAAGTGCGACTGTCTATGTATTTATAGCTCTTCAACGAATTTCAAGGGATAGTGGAGGTCACAATTTGCAATTTTAAATTGGAATTCGTTACGTACGTTAAACAAAATGATAACCTCTTTACAAAAATAATTTATGTATACAAATTCTGAAAAGAACACGGAAAACATGGCATGGCATGGCGATTAAAATTAGTTGCTAAAATGTTTTTATTCTAACTACTATAAAGTTTTTATGAATGGAAAATTATTTTATATGATTAGTGAGGTTTTATACGGAAAAGTACGATGTTATTAAGTTAGTAGTTGAGTAAAAATAATACAAAACTTCACTGTTACTTTATTATATGAAGAAAGCAAAATTAAATACATGCAATTGACATTAGTAATCGAGTCTCGGCTATGTTACATTTTAAAATTAGAAAATTTTCCTTGAAAATATCAATATGAATTCCATAGTAATTTTCTTTATAAGTTTTATTCCCCTTGAAAATATATAAGGAAGTAAATAACTTACTTGTTAAAGATGAAGGTTGATTGCTTTTCTTGCATCTAGATGGTTTGATGGCAAAGATTTCACACGATTTAACATCACATATTTTAATTTCAATCGCACTTTAAAGAAGCAATGTTCCCGAAACATTTTAAAAATTATTGTTTTTATCACCATTTCAGGAACCAGACGAAGGTCAAAAATTAAGAGAACAACAACTAAGACAATTCGCATTCTTCCAACTTAGGGTACATTTAAAAAGAGGCCAAAATTTAGTCGCCATGGATAAGAACGGTACGTTCAAAATGCACAACACAAATCACTACAAACACAAAAAAACACGTAGATTGGCTGGCACAAAAGAACATTTTTAATAAATATCACAATTAAAAATGTAATAACATTTGCTTTTATTTGCACAAAAAACGACTTTATTTATATGTGCAAAAGGTTTAAATTATTCAATCAAATTTTATGGAATATTTTGTTTTTAAACTGATTGAGGCAAAAGCATCAATGACATACAGCTTTCATTTACTCACTGAAATAAATATATTTTATTTAATTTTTAATCTAATCTGCAATTTAAAAAATTATAATTTAAAAATAATATATTGGAATATGGTTCTAAGCGTTATTATTGTTTATTAAATTTAGTACAAAACAATTTTACTATAATCCACTTTTCTTATTTTACACAAATACACGTGTTACGGAACGTTATATGAATGTGTTTTTCTTTTAATTTGCACCTTACAGTTTTTATTGCGCGTAGTTAGTGCTTTTGCTTTTGTAGATTTTTGCATAAAATTGAGCACAACATAATTAACTTTAGATAAATTGGATTTCTTAACAAAAAAATCTAAATGAAATGGAATTAAAATTTTATTAATTAAGTTAAATTTTTAATGTGACGACCAAAAATATATCATGAATTCTGATAGTCAATTGAAATTTCGATTAGTGATGTATTCTTTTATGAATAATTGGTAATAACACATTTAAATAATTTCCTAAGAGTCTTTTGTCATAGATTAAAAAATGTCATAGAGTAGCCGAGCTTAATTTATTCATTTTTATTTTCGCTTTTTAATCTAATTATACATTTTGTGGGGTCGAAAACCAGGTTTGTTATCAGGCACCAGTGACCCGTACGTGAAATTCAAGGCTGGCGGTAGACTGTTGCACAAATCGAGGATAGTGTATAGAGACCTTAATCCAGTATGGGATGAATGCTTCACCGTACCGATTGAGGATCCATTCGTACCAGTACAACTTAAGGTATGTGTGTACCAGTTTACCAGTTTTTGTATACCTAACACTTCCATTCTCTAAAAAACAAGGACAAAATTTTTACTAATACAAGGTAAAATGCACTCTAAACTTTTGAGGTTAAAGATGAAATTTGATTGTCGTAACCCTGATTGCTGTCTCTGTTTATTTCAAACAAAATGTAAGGGATGACAATATATGTTAGTGCAGTGGAAACTCACCATAATACTAAAATTATACATTAATTAAATTAGCAAACAATGGCTGATCGTTCTATTGTTTTGTTACAAAACATATCTCGCAAAGAATATTAATATCGAACACATTTTTGAAGTTACAATGTTTATTAATTATGTCTTACGAGTATTTTCTTTATCTCTTCGTTTTTAAATAAATTATGCGCCAGATAACTTTCAACCACATCATTACTAAATATCTGGTGGGATCGTGGGTCCAGCGCTAATTTATACGTTCTAAAAAAGTCTAGTCGGAGGAATTTAGCATAAAAATGTTTTTTTACCTTCTCAAAGTTTTATACTGCTTTGCCCTATACTTCCAGGTATTTGATTACGACTGGGGTCTCCAAGATGACTTTATGGGAATGTGCTATTTGGAACTAACAGCGTTGGAACTAGGCAGAACCCAGGATTTGGTACTCTGTCTTCGAGATCCTAACAAACCGAACCAGGATATGGGAGAGATTGTTCTGAATGTCACGCTATGGCCGAAGTCACAGGAAGATAAAGATCAGGTAATTTTATCAGATTAAATATTGGCAAAGATTTACAATGTTTGTATATGACCATTAGCGAGTAAGTCAACGTATTTTAGGAAAAACCTCTTTTTTTCTAAGGGACTAGTGTCTGTTGGCGTAGTGGAAGTAGGGTTTAAGACATGTCCTTTTGTAAATACATATAAGGGGAATGTATCAAGCGAGTTTGGAAGACAGTACACTAAATTGTCTGAAGAGAAGCTTTATATTCTTTTTTCTCTTAATATATTCAAACCATCAAAGGTTTTTTTTTAAATTTTAATCACAACATTCACATTTAATCATTTAAATGTGTATTTTTGGATGGATGGATTGATGGATAAATATTTGTTAGAAGGTATCTTCAGAACGGGTCCACAGATCTCGCTAAAATTTGGCACAGATGTAGAACATAGTCTCCAAGAACACATAGGCTACTTACTAATTAAGTTTTTTTTTTAATCCGCGGTGACAGCTAGTCCTTACTATAACACACAAACCTATTTGCAAATTTCAATTGAAACTAAACTCATCTTTACCCCAATTGTCGTTGTTTTCATATTATTCATCCGAATAATCGGTTTCAACATATACCGTAATATAAATGTAAATTTCCTTTTACGATGATAATATCCCAACCCAATTCACTATAGCGCTTTAAGCCTTAATAAAATGTAAAAAGTCTAGGATATTGGAAAATCAAAAGTATCTGCAATAACTATGGCATAGCATATATGGCATATTTAGTTAAGGGTAAAAGAAAGTTAATATGTAGTCTTTGTGTTCTTCCAGACTATGTTCTACATGTGTGCCAAATTTCATGAAGATCCGTTCATACGTTCCGGACATATCTTCAAACAAACATCCATCCATCAAAACATTGGCATTTATAATATTAGTAAAGTAATTTAAAAATAAAACGAAGCATCAAAATCTGTGTATAAGAAATATTTAATATAGGTTATCAAACGTTGTTGACGTTCGAAAAAAAAAATAAAAAATCGGTAACAAATCTGTATCTACTTTAACAATCGGAGAAAAATAAAAGCCGTCTTCAGACATTGTAACTCACATAATCCTATTATAAAAGCGAATTTTTGGTTGGACGGATGGATGTTTGCTTGAAGGTATCTCCGGAACGGCTCAACGGATCTTGATGAAATTTAGCAAACTTGTAGAACATATTCTGGCAGAACACATAGGCTACTTATTATGTTTCCTTTTTATTCAGAGAGGACAAGATCGTGGGTGACAGCTAGTTTGTTAATATACTTATTATTAAGCTGTTGAATTTAAACTTTGACATAAGAAACTGGGTCATTCACGGTATCAAACTAATACGGAAAGGGAGCGTTGGGTCAACCTATTTTAAGTTAACCTCTTTATTGATCATCCTGAGCTATGATTGCGAATATTTTTTTCCAGAATAACGGAAAATGTATGTATAGATATAAAAATAATGCAAATAATCTTTTCATTAATTATAATGACTAAGTTAGACTATATATAAAGTATTATTTTCGCAAACCGTCACAAAAACCTTTTGATATAGCAAAATTTTTAATTACTAATAGAAGTGAGGTATTTTTTTTGGTAATTAAAATTTAGCTCTCTATATTAATAGAATGACATAATAAAGATCTTATATGTGCTATCATATTTTTATTAACCATAATAAGCTTTAGGTTGCTACGACATTAAGCAGAGTATCATGACCACAGTGGGTTTGTGTCCAAAGGATTTGAGGAACTACGCATGAATCACTACTCCATGTTTTCGGTTGGGTTGGATACGATTTAATCCACGACTTGTTGATTTGTGGAAACGGACTCCCTAGCATTCGTTTTATTATAAAAATTCTCACAAGGTCACTCGACTATCCCTAGCGTCCTTGCACCATATTTAATTTCAAACATCCGAAATCGTTCGTCTGCAGCATGACCGTTTATACGATGTTTTATTTAACAATTCTTTCGTAAAGACGGTAATCATTCTATTTTTTCTTACTTGAAATCGTTCACAGAGTAATGAAACGACAGAGATTACAGGTTTGCAAATATTGCGCTATTTTTTGTTTGTAATTTTATGTCCTTTTATTTATTGGATCGAATTTTCTTCGTTCTTCTCTAGAAACCTGAATGCGTCACACAAAATGGACCTCAAAATGCCACACTCTATGCACTAAAGTTGCACTGTTAAGTAACGTTAAGGAGTCTGAACATGAACAATTCACAAACTAGTAACATTTGCTTTTTATATTTAGAACGTACTGGAGTTTTACAAGCGTAGATTATGTTGATATGTAATAGGCAAGTTTACTTCGTGTTTGCAATAAATATAAAAATAATGTTGACCTCTCTGTTCGCTAATTACACTGTACCACAATGCTATAATGCAATAGTACAGTTAGTGGCCGGCCGCGAGCGACGCTGCTCGCGTGTTCAAGGTAACCTCGAAACAAAACAAAATAAACAAAAACGAGTGATAAAGTGCGTTGTGTTGTGAATATTTGAAGATTTATTATTGATGTTTTGTGTTATTGTTATTTAAGAAAAATACGTCAGTTATATTGCAAATTGTAATATTAATTTGTTTGTTAAAACTTCAAGATGTGTCTCAGTTTGCGTTTATCTATGATTCAAATTATTACGAACACAAATAATGGTTGCCGGTATTAGATTTAAGATTATACTTTTTTATTCTATGTCACTGGCTATTTAAAAATGAACGATGTACCGTGACTTTTTGACATCTCTGTATCAAAACATATCGTCATCCCTGTCGTTAACTTTGACAAAACAGAGATAACAATATATTTTAAACGGGGATTTTGTTCTCAGAAACCCACGGTAAATTACTATAGGTTAACAATGCTAAGAGTAATTGCTATTAAAGGATACATTCTATAACTTTTTCATCGAATTGATGATAATTTATACGATTTCTCGTTTCGCTTTTTATTGTCAGGTATTCGAATGCATAAAAATACAATAAGAACCTTTATGACGTTATACTGTCGGGTCATTTTTGCATGATTTAATAGTACTCAATTTTTTTTAAATCCTGGAAAGATTTTATAAAAGTCAAGGTTACAAGGTTATTTCATTTCTTAACCTGAATTGAATCGTTAACCTTTATAAACCGGTAATTATCGCCCGCGATTCCGTCCGTGCGAGATTAAAAAAACTTATAATATTAGCCTATGTGTTCTTCCAGACTATGATCGATGGGCTGTTCATCGAGATAAGTTGAGCCGTTCTGTACCTTCTAAAAACAGGCATCCATACATCCAAACATTCGCATTTATATTAGTAAGATTATTAGTAGTTGTAAATTCCTTAGCAAAAGATGGGTTACATTTTTTTTTATTTAATCTTTTTAAATTGGCAATAAAATGTAGGTCATAATTATGGTTATTTCTGTTTCTCGCCACATTTAAAAGCTATCAATAACTCATTGACAAGTGTGTCCGGTCATAAATCATTTGACGCTTCAATAAAATATTTTGTAGATTTCCTGACGTAATAATAACATATGACGTCTTGGCTGGTTCTTATTGGATCAGTGATGAAGAGTGAAATTCATACATAGTCAAGAACAGTACAACACATTAGTAAATTGCGGGATTCGAATCCAGGACCTGCAGATTACAAGTCAAGTAGTAGTCTTATTTATTCGTGTTTACATAATTAAATATTGAAAATATCTCGTTACTATCCACCTGGAAACTATGCATCTACGATATTGTCTAAACAACTAAAGTAATTCACGCGTTTAGTCAAAATTAGCTGGTATTAGACCTAGGCGTTAGCTTCTAATTATAACCTTTAATTTTTCACCTTCGTTCGATGTACGTCAAAGCTTAATATATCTTTCGTCTATGATACGTCCCGTAGGTCTAATTTTAGTCCTCTTTCCCTTACCACCCTTTTTCTTATAAGAAAAGCATGGCAAGTGAAAGTGGACTTTCGAGAGGAGAGGATGCATGGAAAGGGAAAATATTTTCTTTCTGTGCACCCCCTCCTTCGTCGATTAAAGGTAGGCAACGCATATGCAATTGCGTATGTCTATGGGCAACGGTCACTTCGCTATTTTAGCGATTTAAGGTGGCCGCTCGCTCGTTTGCCACCTTATAATATAAAAAATACTTAAACACTTTCCATGCAATTACGATTATACTTATAAATGCGAATGTTTAGATGGATGGATGTTTGATTGAAGGTATCTCCGGAACGCCTCTACAGATCTTGATGAAATTTGGCACAGATGTAGAACATAGTCTGGAAGAACACATGAGCTTCTAACTTAGTTTTTTCTTAATTCCACGCGGACGGAGTCGCGGTCAACAACTAGTTTTTTTTTCATATAAAAGTAAATTCATCAGGCGGGTCAGTAGAATTAAATGTGTTGGAAATTATGTTAATACTAGACGCCCGCGACTCCGGTCAAGCTAGTTGTAAGAAAACTTAATTAGCAGCCTTTGTTCTTCTAAGCTATATTCTATATCTACACCAAATCAGTGAGATTCATGCAGCCGTTCTAGAGATGTCTTTAAACAAACATCCATCCATTTAAACATTTGCATTTATAATATTAGTAAGATTATCCCTAAATCCTCAATGCCTAAAAATTTAGCAACTATTCTTAATATTCCATTGTATTGGAAAATTATACTATTTAAAAGTTAATTACTCGTATGTATTAATTTCCCCGCTTTGAAACCTTGTGGTCATGATGTCACCGTATGGTTATCAGCGATCTGACACCATAGTACCAAGGTTTCGCTAAATGGCACACCGTGGACTAATCCACATTGTATTATCAGACTCCACAATCATTGCATACACTTAGCGACTAAGATAACATACTAGGTATTACGTAGGGACTATCGGTTGACTAGTCGATCGACCAGTTTGACGACTTTACACTAAACTGCGGAGCTACACAAAGTGCATTCGCTCCAAAGCGCTGCATAATTGAAAAATGTATAGAACTGACAATAACTTTCGATAAGTCTCTTGATTGTCGCTTGTCAGGGGGGTTAGACAATGAGCCGCGGACGAGAGCGAAAGCGTGCCCGTGGTCCCGTCCCGATGCGTTGGAGGGACAGAGAGGTTTAGTGGGTATTCCTCCGCTATGGAGGAGAAGCGAATGCACTTTGCCTAACCCTCCGCTCCCATACAATTTTGAAGTTCGCTATGGAATCCTTTGTGTAGCCCCGCTGATTAGCCAAAAAGGCGATATCTAGACTGATCTGTCGAATAGTCTATAGACTGATCGCACGACTAAAGCTCATGTCTACACTGACTATTCGTTTGTTTGCTTCAATAAACACTAGATTGAACACACGACTAATCGCTCAACAGATTGTCGTTCTTCTTTTTAAGACCTTATTAGTTAGAATCCTTTAGCGCGAATGACACGCTTTCATTACAAAGTCAAGTGTCAGTACGATTAGTGAGGGGACATGAACATCGACATTTTAGTAAGGCTAGTGTTGGGCCAGTACACCGGTACAGTGCCGGATTTTCCTCCTAACATGCTGGACAAATATTAGGAATGAGATACAAAGATTTTTTGCATCGTTACCTTCAATGGTTTCAATAAACAAAACTATATTTAAACCAACGATAGCGCCAGATAGAAGCAATGTGTTTTTCTTCAGACGCATATATTCACCGTATTAAACGTGTTTATCTAGAAAAAGATTGAATAACAAAAACATTGTAAAAGAAAGGTTTAATTATATTAAACTTAATCGGAATTCTTTCAAACACTAATAACAGTAATTTGTAATTTGTTTTTACTTCGAATTTACAACGATGATGGATGTATATTTGTTACAAAGTAACTCTGGAACGGCTCAACGGATCTTAATAAGATTTAGCATAGACGTAGAACATAGTCTAGAAGAGCGGCTACTAATTAGGTTTTTTTTTAACGCGCGGTCGTCGCCGTGGACAACAGCTGTTATATAATTAATTTCTTCATTACTACACCGCGGATTCATAAAAAAGAGTTTTTTTTAATTAAATTAACTAATTAAACTATGTATAGCAAAACTATGATTTTGCTTAAAATACATAACATTTAATGTCTATTTTAATGTCTTAAAACATCCTTTAATTTCAGTCTAAACAGGATAAAACAAACATTAAACTTTCATATAATGTTCATATGGATTTCACTAGAAACAGAACTGATTCATGAGGAAGTATTCATAAAGTAATAAATTACCGTTTCGTTTAAATTAGGTGAAATAATAACGATAAAATGTTTTTAAAAACTTTCAAAATACTCCTTGGAATCAATTAAGGGGAAAACTGGTACGTAAAAATTTTCAGAATTTAAATATTTACTAAACTAGAATATTCATACGTACCAGTATTTTTACGTACCAGTTTTCCCATTAATTGATTCTAAGGAGTACTTTGAAAGTTTTTAAAAACATTTTATTGCAAGAAATCTTCGTGTATACAAATTGTATGTAAACAAAATCTTAAAGCTAAGTATTCGTTCTATGCTATTTAAAAACAGTTGAAATCCAACAGCCGTAGGATACGGACGTATTTTCATTAATTTTTTTTAATATAGTTTCAACAAACAATTTAATATTCAATTATATAACAATTCAAATATAAATGTCTTAGTATTTTTTAACATTTGAAGTGGTACAAAAATATATATAATGTCAGAGATGGATAACAAAATGGAAAGAATTAAAAATCGATTAATAAAAATACACGGGAAGATTCAAGACACTGTTGAAGATATTCAAGATCATGTACAAACGAGAATAGAAAGATCTAGACTGGCAAGTTTCGTTTCGCATTTATCTGAAGATAGAAAATCTTTCGATTCAGACAAATCTATTGATTCTAATGATAAAGTTAATTCTAATATACCATCTGTTGTCATTAATGAGCCGATAGATGGAGTTAATGATGAAAAGGAAATATGTCGTAATTTCATTAAAATGGAAAGCAACGGCGCGATATATAGAAGTTTGTCAGATTCAGACTTGGCTTTTGAAAATGAAACTAATTTTGACAGCTCTAGTGATTCCTGTACCTCGTGGTTGTGCAGCGATGAAAGGTATTACTACTGAAATATCTTAGACTAGCCGTCGCCCCAGACTCCGTCTGCGCTGTATTAAAGACATAATTAGTGCTCACTGACGCTTCCCTCATATTGGTAGCAGCGTAATGTTATATAGCCTATACCTTCCTCTATAAATGGACTATCCAACAAAAAAAGAATTTTTCAAATCGGATCAGTAGTTCTTGAGATAACGCGTTTAAACAAACAAACTCTTCCGCTTTTTAATATTAGTATAGATATATAAAAATCAATTGCTGTTCGTTAGTCTCACTAAAATTCGAGAACGACCGAACGGATGTATCTTATCTTGGTCTTAAAATGTTCGTGGAGGTGTAGAGAAATATTCGAATAATCGCCGGGATCTAACTAAGTTTTTTTTCATCCCAATCAGACGGAGTTGCGGGCGACAGCTAGTTATATTTATGGCATAACCATACCTATCTAAAAGGAAATGTTAATATATTTAATTTTGGACCAATCTCTTCTTGAAATGTGTTAACACATATTTTCCTTTTCCTCCAACTAAAAGGATTATAATTCATATTTCATGATTAACTTGTGTTCAAATATCATCAAAAATAATTGTCATCATTCAATTAATTCAGCGTCGACATGTATCATTAAAATTATCATTAAAAACAACAGAAATTCAGAAATAAGACCGCGAGCCGGCAGCTGTCCTCCCGGTGAGAAGCTGGACGTTTCCAGCAGCTGCGACTTAATAGAGAAGATCAGTAACCGATTCCCCGGACTCAGGAGTAAGGGTGAACGGATACATAGGGTATTATGATTTGACAGTCTTGGTGGCTTCTGCACGTTTTGTACACTAACCGTGGGTTTTTGAGACCGACATCTCTATATAAACATATGCTCATCCCAACATATGACAAAATAATATGTTTAAAAGGGTGGATGGGTGGTTTTTGGTCTCAGAAACCCACGGTAAATTAACACACTCAGAAATTTCATAATACTAAAAAGAAACAGGATTCTTACCGCGATTAAGATTTACATTTAGTTCTTATGAACATTATGGTATTAATTCAGAAACATTTAATTGTTTCTAAGACCTAATCTTACTTAGTATAGATTTAACGAGCAATTAAGACATTAAGTAATCTGAGTTGTACGTTTCTTAACGATTTTGTAGTGTGGCAGTTTGAATCTCTTCTGTAAAGTATTAATAAATGTTGTTTGTGGCGCAAAAACTCGGGAGCCAATCCCAGTGCGAGATTTAGCTCCCATGCTTTTGCGCCACACCGTTGTCGGTTGATTCTACTAACAATATAAAATGTGGTGTCTAATCTATTAAATGCTTATACTAATTTTATTTAATTAAATCAAACTTTCGTGAGACAGTATAACAAACTTATAAAACCGGCTAAACAGTCATGTATATTCATCCGGTGGCGGCACTGACTCTCATTGAGCGACGGGCCGCGTCCGCGAAATAATACCAGTCCCACTCATCCTGATGAAGGGTCCCCGTTGCGCTCGAAACTAGTCGGTGCCGCCAACCGATGAATGATGATGTTTAACCTTTTTATATAAGTTTATTTAATTTATTTATTTACATTGAAAATATTTATATTATTAAAATATAAGAGAACGATTCAAACGAGCAGTTTAAATCATTGTCGTTGTTGTTTTAAAAAGAAACGGGTCCTTACGAGAAAAAATTTCATAATCCTATCGTTATCCATTTACCATCCATTGCATTAAAAACAGTATTCAACCAAATCAGCGACTTTTAACAACAACAGAATCTTTTAAAAATTTACTTTGAAAGAAACAATTCTTTAACAAATATTCAGATAAGGTGTAAGCCCTTTATCTTACGTTGAGTAAATTCCAGTTTTTGAAGGAGAATAAGGCAATTTATCATAATACGTCAAGGTCATTCCATGACTGGTTTGTATTCTACGGTGATTCAAATTCGTCAGTGATTCGTCTTTGTTGACAAATTGACCTCTTATTGATTCATTGCGTGACTTGGAATATACAGGCCTCGTAAATATTAATCCTTGGCAAATATTTGCGTGTAAATATTTAAAAATATGTAACTATTAATTTGGTAATAACTTTGGATATTCAAACTATATTCTAACCTAAACATTTGCTTTATGCATTTGCATTTGCAAAACAGAGCGCAACAAACTTCGCACATACAAAGTTTGTTGCGCTCTGTTTTGTCCACATGGATAATGGCTGATTAAAAATTATTGGTGCTTAATTTATCGCTTCACAACTAACATTGTACGAAAAAAAAACAAAAACTCTAGACTGGCACCATTCAAGTCAAAGCGTTGCATCTTGTACAAGACGTACTGATTTTATTGTCAAGGTCAAGAAGGGCGCAAGAATCACGCTGAATGAGGGTTACGGAATCTGTGGCGTTCAATGAGAAAGCTTACGTCTTCTAGAATTCTACTACATTATAACATGGGACTGCTATTTCCATGAGCAGTTCATGTACTATGCTGCAACTGACAATAACAGTGTCACAAGTTTGGAATCGTGCAATTGGCCACTTAGTATAAAAAATTACATATGATATGATATTTTCTCTTTTTTCAGTATCTTTTGAAGAATACAAGGCTAAGTGACGTAAATAAGCGACTTAAGGCGCAGATATGGAGCTCAGTTGTTACTATAGTTCTTGTTGAGGCAAAGAATCTGCAAGCAATGGACGTTGATACTAGATCTAGTGATCCTTATTGCAAATTTAGGTAAGATACTTCGATGGTATGTTCATTAAAATTATCATCAGTTCACTATACGTCCCCACTGAGGGGCTCGGAGCCTACCCTAACTTAAAGGTGATTAGGCCATAGTCAACCACGCTGACCAAGTGCGGGTTGGTTGACTTCACACACATATCTTTGAATTTCTTCTCAGATATGTGCAGGTTGCATCACGATGTTTTCCTTCACCGTAAGAACGTCGGATAGATGTACATATGTAAATCAGAAATCGAAAAATACATTGTACATGGCGGGAATCGAACCCAGGACCAGGAACCCAGGATTTCAAGTCAAGTGCTTGACCCCTGAGCCACCGACGCTCTTTATTAAAATCTCCAATTATTTTTATTTGTAGCTGGTAAAATCGTCTATTGATTGAAAGAGGATGGTGCGAAACTTTAACTGTAATATCGTAATGAAGTTGAAAAGCAAAAAAATAGTCATAATTTTCATCAAAATCTTTAAAGATCTTTTAAATGTTTTCTTGACATGAGATATATAGCTTCTTACTAATATTATAAATGCGAATGTTTGGATAGATGGATGGATAGGTGTTTGTTTGAAGGTATCTATAGAACGGCTGCATGAATCTCGCTGAAATTTGGCATAAATGTAGACCATAGCCTGTAGGAACACATAGGCTACTTAAGTTTTTTTAATTCCGCACGGACGCAATCACTGGCGATAACTACTATAAAATAATTATCATTAGGTTAGGTAATGAAAAATATAAAAGTAAAGTTGTATGGAAGTCACTTCATCCATCATGGCTGGAACAGTTCGACCTACATCTGTACGACGATCAGGAGCAAATACTGGAAGTGACTGTGTGGGACAAGGACAAACAGACTAAAGACGACTTTTTAGGGAGGTAGGTATGTTCCTTTTCATTATAAAACATAGCTCTTAAAACTTATAGACTAAGGAACTGGATTAATCTTCACGATTAATGAAACGTAATAAGAAAGTACTAGCTGTCCCTTTCTCTCCTTCCCTTTAGATATATAGCTGTCTCTCTTATGTAACGAAAGACTTCAAACTCATCTCGTCAATGATTTTTTTATATCATAAGGTGGCAAACGAGCGAGCGGCCACCTGAAATCACTGAAATAGCGAAGTGACCGTTGCCCATAGATATACGCAATTGCATATACGTTGCCTACCTTTAATCGACGGAGGAGAGGATGCACAGAAAGAAAATATTTTCCCTTTCCATGCATCCTCTCATCCGGAAAGTCCACTTCCACTTCCCATCCTTTCCTTAAAAGAAAAAGGGTGGGAAGGGAAAGAGGACTAAATTAGGCCTCTGGGACGCACACCAATCAGACGAAACGCGGAATTGCTTCCACTTCACGCCTGTCTTCTGTGTGGTCGTGGTATTTCACCGGGCGAGCCGGGTCAATTCGTGCGAAGATGTTAAAGCGGGTTCTACCACTGTTAAATATCACAGTTTACGTTGATTTATCGATTCTTAACTTCATAAATTCGAATTTATATATTAAAATAAACACATTTCCAGGTGTACAATAGATCTATCTACATTAGAAAGAGAGAAGACACATAACATATGGCAGGATTTAGAAGATGGTAATGGACAAATATTTCTATTGCTGACGATCAGTGGTACCACACAATCGGAAACTATTACAGATCTGACTAGTTATAAAGAAAATCCTAGAGATATTGAAATAATAGAGAGGAGATATGTAAGTATACCGCTAATAACAAAAGTTTTATGCAAAATAATTTGCCGAATACTACGTTTGATCATTTTAATTTTTTTTTTGAAGAACACCCCAATATTATACTGCTTAAGAGAGTCTTTTCTCATTATTTCAAATTATCTAGTTCTTAAGATATTTGAGTATGGAGTCAAGTCATGGATGTCCATGAACCCTAATTACGTAGTACTCAGTGGGCTTGTATTACAAGCATCGGTTTTGTTTTTAATACCGTCAACTTATTTTTTCTTTTTAGGCTTGGTACCGACTCAACGAGCACTCGAGTGGTGTCGGCTGGCTGTGTGTCAAAGTGTACGGCGCCAAGGGTCTAGCGGCCGCGGATTTGGGAGGAAAGTCAGACCCTTTCTGTGTACTTGAACTGGGCAACGCCAGATTACAAACGCACACAGAATATAAAACATTGACACCGAGTTGGATGAAGATATTCACTTTGTAAGTTCAATTTAAATACTAGCTGTGACCGCGACATCGTCCGCGCGAAATACTATCTATAAAATATTATTAAATATAATAATATAAAATAAAATTTCATCCCCTATTCCCTGTTAATAATTTGCACCCTTAAGGTTTAAATATTTACAATAATTGAATGTCATATTTATTAATATTAAATTAACAGTCCAAAATATAAGTTTCTGTAAAATGATACGTCCATACAAATTTCTACTCACCCTTTTCAAGCCCTGACAACCCCTTTTTCGCGTTAAAAAGCCTATGTCCTGGGGAAGGATCTCGACTATCTATATTATCAAATTTAATTTAAATCTGTTCAGTAGTTTTTGCATGAAAGGACAGACAGACAGAGTTACTTTTGCATTTATAATATTAGTATGGATTAGCTACTATTTTATATCTTGGATGGTAAAAGGATGGAAAAGATGGATTTAGCGAGATTTAGAGATGAAATTATATCTTAAAATTACTCTTTACTATAATTTAAAAAATAGCTAAAAGCATATTATTTTTATAATCTAACAATATGTCTCGACTGTCGAAGTAACAATGTTGTCTTTGGTCAACTTTCTCTTTGTTTATAGCAGATTTAAATAGGTTAGAATCTAACCTAACTGGCTACTAGTTACTAACTTACTAACTACTAGCTTAACTAGCTGTCGCCCGCGACTCCGTCCGCGTGGTTATATAAAAAAACTTAATTAGTGTAGCCCACCCATCCATCCATCAAAATCACATCCATCTAAACATTGGCATTTATAATATTAGTAAGTTAAATAAAAAGCAGCTCTTCAAGGCATAAATTCGAAAAAAAATGAATAAATAGTATCCCATGTCCGTCTCCTGGCTCTAAGCTACCTCCTCACAAATTTTCAGCCTTATCGGTAGAGCCGTTCTTGAGTTATAAATAGTGTAACTAACACGACTTTCTTTTATATATAAAGATATAAATAAATAAATAAAGATAACAACTACATCATAACATGATATTGTCATTTGTGCTTATAAATTTCTTTATTTCACAGTACAGTCAAAGACATCACATCGATATTAGAAATAACCGTATATGATGAAGATCATGACCATAAAGTAGAGTTCCTCGGTAAACTGGCAATACCACTGCTGAACATACGCAATGGTGAAAAGAGATGGTTCGCACTCAAAGACAAGAAAATGAGAGCCAGAGCAAAGGGGAATTATCCACAGATTTTGTTAGAGATGATGGTCATATGGAATCCGGTAAGTTGATTATACTTTCAAACAGTCGCCTGTGACTTCATTAAATCAAAATTAAAAAAATAGCTTGTAACATGCCCGCGTGTATCCCCGTACAATCCCAACTACAGTCTGATGAGTGTGCGTGCCGGAGGCCTAATTTATTCCTCTTTCCCTTCCCACCCTTTGTCTTATAAGGATGGTAAGTGGAAGTGGACTTTCCGGATGAGAGGATGCAAGGATGCAAATGAAAGGGAAAATATTTTCTTTCTGTGCATCCTCTCCTCCGTCGATTAAAGGTAGGCAACGCATATGCAATTGCGTATGTCTATGGGCAACGGTCACTTCGCTATTTCAACGATTTCAGGTGGCCGTTCGCTCGTTTGCTACCTTGTGATATAAAAAAAATATGACTATAGGCCGTAGGGAAAGGAACAATTGATAACGATGATGTGTATTCATAGGTTATGATTTCTTTTTTTAAGTTGAAAGCTGCAATAAGAGTAATAAATCCAAAAGAACCAAAATACATGCATCAAGAATCAAAATTCAAGAGGCAACTGTTCATAAGAAATGTGATGAGGTTAAAAGCTATAATAATGTGGTTTATTGAAGTCGGGAAAATTTTACAGTAAGTTGTTTATTACTATTTAATAATACGGACGTATTAATAATAATAGTACGGAATAATACGTTAAGGAGATGCCACACGGACAGTATGGAAGTACTGTTAGAGATTAGTCGTGGGGCATATTTTCCTCACACTGTCTTAATATCACTGTTGTATTAAAATTCTAGGATTCGTGGATATATAAAAAAACTTAATTAGTGTAGCCCACCCATACATCCATCCACATCATCTAAACATTCGCATTTATATTAGTAAGTTATATAAAAAGCAGCTATTTAAGGCATAAATTTGAAATAAAAAATTAAAAACAAGAATAAATATTATCCTATGTCCGTCTCCTCCTCACCAAATTTCAGGCATATCGGTAAAGCCGTTCTTGAGTTATAAATAGTGTAACTAACACGACTTTCTTTTATAGATAATTGAGTTATAGCTGTAATTTCTTTCAAAAATGTTTAATTTATAATTGGAACTTTAAGCAAAGCGTCCATTGAGCCGCGTCAGACGTACCGCACGTACGGATAAAACGAATTTGCTTTGTTTTTCGATGCGGTTAGCGTGGATGGTAAAATCTGTTGCGTGCGATGCGTGCGGTGCGACACAATGGACGTGTTATAAGGCTTCAAACGATTTGCTATTAGTTTCCTAAGGGGCTTTGTGTCCTGTCTTTAATTAATTTCAAATTATACCTTTCAGAGACTGTTTTGAATGGGAATCTAGATTTAGATCCTTCCTAGGTCTGTTAGCGTGGCTCGCCTTTTGTTATTATTATCAGATGTGGATGTTGCCATTTCTACTTCTAGTCTTTTTCTCAAGGAATTGGCTCATCTATAGACTTACTGGTGAGTACAACACGGTCACAATAATATGATACTTTGAACATATGTCCTATTCAATCTATTTCTTTAAGCAAATTTGCCATTACAATTAGTCCATCTTTGATGGAAACTAAACGACACTACACGATAATCTATCTCTCATGGTTTTTTTTTCTTATTATAATAATATATTTTTTGTATCATCCATGTAAGCTGTCGTTAGCGACTCCTTCCACGCGAAATTAAATAAAACATAGTAAGTAGCCTATGTGGTCTTCCAGTCTATGTTCTACATCTATTTCAAATTTCAGCAAGATCCGTCCAGCCGTTCTCGAGATAACTTCGACAAACATCCATCCATCAAAACATTCGTATTTATAATATTAGTAAGATTATTCACCTATATTGTTTGTTTTCTGTTAATATTTTATAGTTCGTTTAAAAAGTATCCAGAATAATCCGTGGAGGTTCATACAGAACATTTTCGGTAGTAAGTAATATACGTGTGCGTTTGTTAACAGCATGATTGTTGTTGGTTTTCATTGACGAAACAAAAACATATTACAATCTCTATTCTGTTCGAAAAAACTGAGATATCATGATTTTGCACATACGTATCGACAGTGGAAACACACGGTTATTAACAAATCATTGTGTTTATGTTGTTCATTGTATAGCTGTCTCCCGCGACTTCTTCTTCGCTTACGGTTCTTCTAGACTATGTTCTATATCTATGACAAATTTCAGCGAGACCTATACAACCGTTCTCGAGATACTTTCAAACAAACATCCATCTATCGATACATTCGCATTTAGAGTAAGCTTTATTCAACAATATAGCAACTTAATTATACTATAATAATACTTACATTAAGTGTGAAAAGATAGTACTAAGTACGTACTAAGTTTGTTGCTTAGAACCAGCTATGATTTAAAAATAGAATAAAAACTTTTATGTTTAATTTTTTTATTGCATTCCAGGAGGTAATCCTTTATTACAGCCAGTTGATGATGAAGATTTACTGGCTGAAGAAGATGATGAAGAAGAGGTTGATAAAGTAAGTGTAGTCGTCACTACTGAGGGTCTTATTTACTTATGAAAAATCACTAAATATCAGAGTGGAAAAAATAGTACTAGTTTTGTTTTTATTCACCACATTTTACAGCAACATATACTTTAAAGGAAAGGACGACACACAGAAGACAAATGTGATTTGAAAGTATTTGTGCGTTCGTCTGATTTAGTCGTCAGAAACTATCGTATTTAGGCGATCATTTTTCGTCGTCACTTTTAACTACAAGAAATTAAGCATGAAGATAATTTGAACGTAGTATCTTTGTAGGACAGTTTTTTAGTTGTATATTTTTGTTCTTACAGGAAGAGAAGAAATCATTAAAAGAGAGATTGCAAGCTATACAAGAAGTCACGCAAACTGTGCAAAATGCGATAGGTTACGTCGCATCTCTGGGAGAGGCGGTTAAAAAGTATGTTTTTTTTAAATAGCCACTTTTTATCCATTCCAACTAAGCTACAATGTTAGGATCTGGTACACGAAAATCTATTGGCGAATTCGAACCTAATATTACTTAATCGGATGTCCGTTCCCTTAGCTAAATGGCTTTTGACTTCTCTCATAAAATGTATATAACCTTTTTTGATTTTCTTTTTAAATGTAAAAGGCGGTATTCTTGGTATCCATTGTTCGTATTTTTTTTATTTTCAACTATTTTTACCTGTTTATTGGAAAATGATAATATTATAGGAAATTCACGAGTATTTTTGGTGTTTTTTTTCAGCTTGATGAACTTCACGGTGCCATGTCTTAGTTATTTAGCTATATTAATGTTATTTGGAGCTATGTTAGTCTTATATGTGATACCACTGCGTTACCTTCTTATGGCTTGGGGTATGTAAAATATTTTATAATACACGCCGCTTGAGATGGCACGTCGGATATAAGACTACTCATGAATCCTATGTACCAAGTCAAATGCCGAGTGGAATACATACAATTTCAATATAAGCGGGAAAATTAATAGTGTTATTTAAATTTTAGGTATAAATAAATTCACAAGGAAAATCCTTAGACCACACACAATACCAAACAATGAGGTTTTAGATCTGTTGTCACGAGTACCAGACGACGAGATATTGGTGAGTTAGACGATTTTTTTATTTTTAATGATTCTAAGTTTGAAACATAATTGCGAAATTGCTGATAAGTAATTAGCCTCTTATTAAAATAATATTATAATAATTATTGTTATTAAAGAAACAAAAAATTATTAAATCTTAAAGTTGCTCCTGATTAAAAATAATTTTATAGAAAAAAAATGTTTTTGGTCTTTTCAAAATACGCGCCATAAAATGTCTGGCAGGTCAAAATTAAATTATAAAAAAATGACATAGATTGTTTATTTTATATTATAAACGTAATGTTGTTTTATTTCAGCTTGATTGCAGAGAACTTAAACCTCATCCAGCGAACGAAGCTCGAAGGGACGCAAGAAAAAAACACAAAGCCGCCTAAATTACAGATTATATCTAGTCAAGCAAAGTTATGTTCATAGACAATTTGATAAACCAATGTTGTTAGCTTTTTCTAAAACTACTATGTGGTAACTTTTTTGAAGTAGATCTACTATTGTTGGAATGTATTAAAAATTATTTTAGCAACGGAAAATTTAAAAACACTAGGAGGTGTTTTGAAGTAACCAAACGGAGAAAAAAATTGAAATATTGAATATTAACAACAATAAGATTATCATGGTTAATTAGTTGTGAAAAAATTACGCTGCATTTTAGCAGCAATGCACAACAGTCTGTAGACTGAAGATCTGATGTATAGTTGTAATGTATCATTTACTTATAATGATCATTTGGTATTTAAATTAATATAAATCAATCGTCCATGTAATGAATACCATTATTAGATAGGAAGATGTCATTTGAAAATCTTTAAGATTATTATTTAACTTGCTGTCTCTTGTAGAATGAAATTGTATATTTATAAAAAAAATCCTACATGATTTTTATATCTTCACATTATTTAACTTTTAATATTGCATATTGTTATAAAATTAAAAGAATCATAGTATTTTCATCTTAAATCTTTATTCCATAATCATCACATTTCATAATATACCAACTTAATTCTTTAAATATTTAATGCTTTTAATCTGACAATTTTCATTTACTTGTTAGGTATTTTCAAACCAAAAAAACTTTGTAACATTGAGATCTGGTTAAAAATTACACTTAATCATAATTTTATTAAATTTGTTCATAATACATTGACATAGATATATTTTTAAAGTCGCGCACAGAATGGACCAGAGTAAGATTTTTTTATTAATTTTGTAAAATTTCCCACATTTTTTTAGGTTATGCTGTGTGTGCTATTAAATTGTGGATGTCGCATGCCTAAATGTATTGCTTTAAAAATTATACGTTCCTATTTATAAATTCATCCATAATTTAACTTCATAGAATCTCTAGACTACACCTCTATGTATTCAAAGCAAAATTTTAAAATACAACTATGTTTAGGTTATTTTTGACTATGAATATATGATACATTTTATATAAAATTAAATAGCGTAATATATTTTCTGCCAAATTGCAAATAAAGTGAGATAAAAATTGTTAATCTAGGCAAAGGTGATATTTATGTACCTCGTAGACATGTTTATATTAAATACATACTAAATCTTATTGTTAGACAGGTATTTAAAAGGTAATATCGACACCAAATAAAACTCAAACATAGAGACGATATTTTAATTGTTAAGGAACGTTTCTTCCATAAATCCGCTGTTAAATTTTTGTTAGTGTGTGCTAGAATTATCCTAAATTATTTTTTTACTATGAAAAAGAATGTCGAAGACATCGTATAAGATGTACTGATAATATCAAGGTCAAGCAAATTATCCAAAATATTAACATTGCTGCATTTGTTGGAAAAATTTATAAACGCAAATTTAAAATGAAATTATTCTATGATTGCTTACACTTCCTAATAAATTCATTAATGCATTCAATATTTTTTTTTAGTAACCTTAATACTTATATGACACTAATTAAAATTAATTATCAAGTAATTTTGGTGTCCACTTGTAACTCAATGAAAATGTATGGTATGTTGATAATTGTCATATTTAAATAGAATAAACATTGATAACCGTCGTTTGATTTCATCGATTTTAAATTTACGAAAGGGAGCACTTAAGAATAGTATAAAATATAGACTATATGAATTAAGAGGTCAAGTTTCTTGTATTTAAGTTTAATGATAAATTTAAATTCTTCCATTACGAAATTTCCATATTTGTTATTTAAAATTTTGCACATTTTTGTAATCTTCATAAGGCACAACTAAATATCTTCACTATTATTCATAGTTGTCTAATTAAAATGTTATATTTTTTTTTGTTAAAGTACTTCAAGGAAAATATACGATTAAAGTTATCACTTTATACGTTTTAAAATAAATTATAAGAGAATTGTTTTATTTTTATCCCTTTATTCTAAAATGAAAGTGTACCTTTACACTATAATTTTAATGTTAATTGCGTACTTTTAAATACTTTTTTCTGTGTATCATTTAAAGAAACCACAAGCGACGCTTCTGGCGTTGGGTCTTGATAATTAAGTATTACTTCTACTCGCTAAAGGAGAAGAAACTGTACGTTTTTTTATAACCGTAAGTATCTACTGATAAAACATTAAAGCCATATCTACTACCTCTTATAAATTTAGTATTATATTAAATTATTTAAGTATGTGTTATTTCCGTGATGTTTTTTTTTTATTTTCAATGGTTCTTTTAATTTCCTTTTCCTGTTTTAAAATAACTGTAGGAAATTTAAATTAACGTCTGGTAACTCCAAAAACTTACTGCGTCAGCCATTGTCACATTTTAAACGTAATGTCACCTTTACTGTCACTTATTACGTTTTACTGCTGTCTTGTCAAATCAATCGAAGGAAGAGAGGCGGTCGTGAGTTGTTGGCAATAGTTAAATCTACCAAAATTCCGTAATCTTAAAATACCAAATCTTCAAAATGAGTATCAGACTGCAAGAGTACAAAGACGCGATTGAGAAAAACCTCAAGGATAGAAGCAAACCATGGACCAAATACTTCGACATAGCCGAGTCAAAAACCGGCGTGAGCAGGGTATATCTATTCGTAGGTGAGTTTGGTTTTAAAAAAGGAGTTTATTTATATCTTTAGCGCTGGATTTGACGTTTGTTTTGTGTCGGCAGGAATCGTCGCGTTCACCGGTTTATATTTAGTATTTGGGATTGGAGCTGAGTTGATATGTAATTCGATTGGCTTCGTGTATCCTGCGTACATGTCTATGAGGGCTTTAGAGTCGCCTCAAAAGGACGATGATACTAAGTGGCTGACATATTGGGTGGTATACGCCTGCTTTTCGATTCTCGAATACTTTTCGGACTTCATCGTGGGCTGGTTCCCACTTTACTGGCTTATAAAGGTTAGTAAAAAAATTCCATATGTTCGCCATTTTGAGAAACTACAAAAAAACCTTTGTTTTTTGTGTAGGTGCAAAGAGTGGTCTATTGTGTTGGAAAAATCAATATTTGTGTGGAAAGGTGCTTTGTTCCTTTATTTTAAACTGTATTCCATATGTTTTGTAATTAAATCTATTAGGCTATGCAAAATGCAACTTTATTGTTATGTTAGTAACTAATTAACATTCTAAGTTAATCTGGTAAACATCATAAATTTTACTTTTTTTTCTTCAATATAGTACCTGTAAAGTTATTGAACAGTGGAAGTAATCTTTAGTGAGATAATTTTTTATTACAACACTTTTACTTTTAGATTTGTTATCACTAGATATTCTATCTGGGATAACATTTTAACTGAAGTTCTGATATGATATTTTTTTGCAATACATTATATGACTCATATTGGATTAAATGAATTTAATTAAATTTTGACAAAGAACATAGCTTTTGCAAAAATCCTTCAAGAATATAACAAAACAATTATTACATTTTCTTACAATATAAAGCAAGTATTTCTCAAAATAAATGAAGACGGCGGTATTTCCAAACCAATACGACTTAGGGTCCTTCAAGAAGCAAGCCTGTAACCACCTCAAAGGCCGGTTTTAGGCAACGCATCTGCAGTTCCTCTGGTATTGCTGATGTCCATGGGTGTCATTGAACACCTCTGTGTTCCCGCTGCTCGTTTGCCCCCTTCTGTTATAAAAAAAAATACAAAATATTAATAAACAAACAATAATGGCTGGCATGTATGAAAACTGACGTTCTTTTGTTGTTTTTTTTTTAATTTAGTTTGAACTGTAATATATTCTACAAACATGCAGATGTTTCTTCTATGTGTAGACAAAATTATTGTCTTTGTTAGGTTGATGAAATAATAATTGAGTTAATGTACACATAAGATAACTAAAGGAAAGATATGAAAAACATTCATTATCACTTTGACTTTGTCTATGCAGTTGATGATTTTTGTTATTAAAGTCGCATTTTATACTTGACTAGCGATCGCCCGCGACTTCGTACGAATAGAATTAAAAAACAAGTAGTAGTGTTCTTCCAGACTATGTTTTGTGTATGCCAAATTTCATCGAAATCTCAGCCGTTCTGCTAGTATGCAATATTTTTTTTTATATCATAAGGTGGTAAGCGAGCGGCCACTTGAAATCGCTGAAATAGCGAAGTGACCGTTACCCATAGACATACGCAATTCCATATGCGTTGCCTACCTTTAATCGACAGAGGAGAGGATGCACAGAAAGAAAATATTTTCCCTTCCCGTGCATTCTCTCATCTGGAAAGTCCACTTCCACTTCCCATCCTTTACTTTTAAGGAAAAGGGTGGGAAGGGAAAGAGGACTAAATTAGGCCTCCGGGACACACACTCATCAGACGAAACGCGGAATTGCTTCCACTTCACGCATGTCTTCTGTGTGGTCGTGGTATTTCAGTGGGCGAGCCGGACAATTTTAGAATGCTGGAAAGTTTTAATTTATTATTAGTTGTAGTTATTCTACATCTTTGTATAATACGTTTTTGTGTTAACCTTTGTTACATTATGAGTCAGCATACAACCAATATAACTTGATCTCTTAATTCAATACAATGCACATGAATGCACACAGTTTATGTTACAAGGTGATGTCCATTAGTGTTGATTACATTTTAATTATATCATTGTTTTTTATCTATATGTAACTTGTTAATGACTTTAGTTGACTATAACCAATATTATTGAAGAAACAAAATCGATTTCTTTATACACTAGTTGTCACTCGACTTTGTTGCAGAAAAACAAACATATTATTATAAGTAGCCTATGTGTTCTTCCATGTTCTACATGTGTACCAAATTTCAACAAAATCTGTTGAGATGTTCTATATCTTCAAACATTCATCTAAACTTTTGTACATTGCTTATGGTGAAGGAAAACATTGTGATGCAAGCTCCCCATATCTGAGAAGAAATTCAAAGATATGTGTGAAGTCAACCAACCCGCACTTGGCCAGTGTGGTTGACTATGGCCTAATCACTCTTAACTTAGGGTAGGCTCCGAGCTCCTAGGTGGGGAAGTATAGTGAGCTGATGATGATGAACATTGTATGCATTAATTTCACTGCTGTAGTATATATTGAAACTAATTGTTTTCTCTCTATTTACAAAGAAAATGAGCAGGATGACATTATGTTTCTAAGCTGTATGAACAAAAAGAGTTGTCTCTTTGTAATTTTATCAGATGGGTCCATATTATGTGTTACTTTTGTTTTAGTGCATCTTCATAATCTGGTGCTACCTGCCCACTGACTTCAACGGCTCCTTGATCATCTACCACCGCATCCTCCGCCCTTATTACCAGAAGCACCACAATAAGATTGATGACCTGGCCAACTCTGGTATGTCAACTTTATATAATTGATTTATGACTCCTATGTAAATAATTGTATAATATAAATATAATAGGTACAGTTGACAGTTTACTTTGAATATTGTTAACCATACCAACCCACACTGGGCCAGCGTAGTTGATTATGGTCTTGTCACCCCTAACTTAGGATAGGTTCTGAGCCTCTCAATAGGGATGTATTTTTTTATATCATAAGGTGGCAAACTAGCGAGCGGTCACCTGAAATCACTGAAATAGGGAAGTGACCGTTGCCCATAGACATACACAATTGCATATGCGTTGCCTACCTTTAATCGACGGAAGAGAGGATGCACAGAAAGAAAATATTTTCCCTTCCCATGCATCCTCTCACCTGGAAAGTCTACTTACACTTCCCATCCTTACCTTATAAGAAAAAAGGTTGGGAAGGGAAAGAGGACTAATTTTGGCCTCTGGGACGCACACTCATCAGACGAAACGCGGAATTGCTTCCACTTGACGCGTGCCTTCTGTGTGGTCGTGGTATTTCACCGGGCGAGCCGGGCCGATTCGTGCGAAGATGTTAAAGCGGGCTCTACCTCTGTTAACTGTATAGTGAGCTGATGATGAAATCATATTTAAAATCAAAATACAATAAAATAACATATTGACATACATTCTTTATATACTTAAAAATAACTATGTCTTTGAATATAATAAAAAATTGGTGAATATGATTATTTACATTGGAGTCATTGACATTTGACAAACTTTTTTAATCTTATATTTGCATGATTTAAAGGCTGCATATCTGCCTTGCATTTTTTTATTTCTTTTTTAATATTGGTATTGGAATTTGGAATTACTATTAAATCATCACTGGTTATATAAAACTCAACAAACTGCATATGTGTGCATTTATATAGCATAAAGTATTTGCAGTATAAGGAAAATAGCTGATTCATGTTGTCAAGGAAATCATTGACCTAGTAACATAGAATTTAGTAAGCAAAATTGAGAAATTTATGCAATTTTAATAAAATAAATTATTTATTATATTAAAAAAAATCTTCGGACTAGAATAGTACAAATTTTGACTTGGTTTGTTGGATTTTATATAAAGAAATTAGAAACAGCGTTCGGTTTTTGTAATACTATGGTGAATATAAAAAATATGGTTAAGGAAAATTCAAAAACGTTAGAAAAATGTGGATATGACAATGATTTTTTTTAACTTATCTTATACTTGAGGATATGATGTTCACGTTTTTAGATACTTTGAAAAAGATAATAAAGGACACCAACAAACATATGGATAAAACTCTAAAAGCTTTCAGCAAAAAACTTGAGGAGTTTCACAAAGATTAGATTTTTTACTACTTAGGTTGTGGTTGGGGAGAGTATGGTAAGATTTTAACAATAGGTTAGAATTATGCTTTGCATGGGAAAGGGTACACAAGTATACTGGTGGGAAAGGGTACACGAGTGTGCTCAATTTGTAATTTTACGTAATATTTCTTCCATTATACTTGTTTTTTCCTTGCCTGACTTGTATATAGGGGCTTGCTAAATTCATGTACCTACACATATAACCGGACTTAGTAAATAGTCAATTAAATATTTGGGATATAAAATTTCTTGTCACAATTTTACAGACACAGTCACTTCTTTCTTTATATTTTGTCATTATATTAAGTTTTACTTTGCTCCATAATTCTATGTTTGTTTTATTTCTGTCATTGGTTATGTAATAATTGACATTTGATCAAATATACGAATAAAAAATCACTTTTAAATAAAGATTTTTCTCGTACAATAATAGTAATGGACATAGTTTTACTCTTAACTCTGTTGCTAAAACGTAACACTTTTTTTTATGATATTTTAAAAGTATTTTCCTTCTATTTTTAATAAAGTGTTTTTCCTTTTACCTGAGTCATATCTACATGTTTTTAACGAATTATTTTTATTTTAAAGTATTGCACCTCCTATGTTTCGTTTTTTTTTAATTCTTTTTTATTTTTCACAAAAATTATTAATTTTTTTTCGAAAAAAGATATTTTTTTACTATTCTCTTTTATTTTATTTTCCACATGGACAGAAAAGTCACAATTTCAGGTAGATAATGTCCATCAGTTGGTGCATGATGTCAATAAAAAAATGAACACTTCCATGAAAAGGTTGACTTCGTAATTTTTGTCTTGTATGTTTTTTTCTTTCATTTATTTTATAGTATCAGTAATTTATGAGAAAAATTACGTATTTTTTTTACCATTGTTCCATATAATATTAAAATTATAGTAAATATAATATTTTTTGTTATCATCAAATGTAAAAAATATTGCACCACATTTTGATAGCTCCTGTGGTTTTATAATATTTTTTATTTACCACAGAAAAAAACCTGATTACTTAATTAAATTTTGTATTACATTTTTTTTTAGTTTTTTTTTTTAATATTTTTTTTTAGATTTGTTAGTATTGGGTATGTAGTTTTGTGTTTGTTTTCGTCCTATATTTTAACAATGGGTATAACCTTTTTAGGTAAACAAGATTAGAGCACTTTCAAACACATCCACCGACATGTAAGTAAACACCAATGGATGGTCAACTTAATTTCTCATTGTCAAGATAAAAAAGTGATTTTATATTACTAATATATTTTTGGCTTGAACTATGTGAATTAATTTGCCTTATAGAATTAACCAAAATTAAAAAAAAAAGACTTAAATTTACTAAGAGTAGAAAAGTCGATAAGTGTTGTCTTCCACAACACGTTTAAAACATATCCCTATTATTATCTTTAAGTTTGTTTGGCAGTGGAAATCTACGCTTAATCAATAAAAATATGATATGCCTACTTATATCTAACTTATTTTATACATTTTGGCGTGTTACCAGCTATCATTTTATTAAATAAATCGTAATATTGCATAACAAAAAGAAATTATCATGCAAGTAACGATGACTCACTTTTTTATCTTAACTCATTTGTCACGCTTTGCATCATATCTAGTGTGTAAAATTAACTAATCATAGATAAAAGTTAACCTTACATCTGGCAGGATATCACGTTTCCTTCATATCTTAAAAAATAATTAATATTTAACAAATTTTTTGCGCCATCTAAACTTACGGTTCGTTATTTTTCTCGCTATGCAGAACACACTTTTAGGTAGCGTAATGGGTTTTGGGGTGAAAAAACATTCCTTTGCTCTTCAATCTCGCAATAAGACAACGTTTATAAATGTAAGTGCAGGTTTTCACTGGTATATGTAAAAAAAACACTGTCTTGGTGAAAGTAAACTTTGCGAACGTTTTATTATTGCCTACCCCAATTGTGTTCGTAAGACCTTGTTTATATTTCATTTGACTCGGACAATGGCAAAGATTATATCCGTTTATTTTGGTATAACTGATCTTGAAACTGACATTTTTTACTGAATTACGATTTACATTAACTTTCACTTGAAGTTGTTGCTTACCTAAATAAAAAATTGAAGAACAAGTATACAATGCTTGCATTTTTTCTGATTTTTTTAAAACTAGTACTAGTAAAAAAAGTTCACGGCATGCATCCAATCCGAACTCAAGATATAAAACCAAAGGCTCCAATAGTATAATACAAGTAAAATATTCAAAAGATACAATGATTTATCAGAATCTGTTAAGAGGTTTGATAACAACAAACACAGATTCTCTTTCATAATAATTTTATCATATTTCATTAGATCGATTACATTAGTAGTATAACAACAATGTATGGAGCATTAAAATCCGTTTAACAAATTGCACCAACTGAGGATGTATTAATCCATTAGTGCATAACGTTCGATAAATCAAACGCCAATAAAATTGTTATTTTAGGAGTTATATATATTTTACTAACCGTTTATTTTTTTAAACAGTAGTGTAATATTGACAAATACACATACACACATACTCATACACCTACACACTCACACACACACACAAACAAACATACACACACTATAATTATTGATACTTAAATTAGTTGTTTTTCTACACAAACAATTATTTAATTTATATATATGGGAAGTCCTTTTCTCCTTAAGTACAGGTCTTCCTAGTTAAGGAGTCAAGGCAACATTGAATTTGATTTTCTTGTGTATAACAATAAAGGTTTTTTCATTTTTTTTCTTCATATATATTTGAAGTGGTAATACTGTTGGTATGACATTCCGGGAAGCATAACGTCCGATTTATCGGACGGGCTATAAAATCTAAACTTTCATGTTGATTAAATATTTTATACAATTTAATGGTCAAATATACTCGAAATGAAAATATATTACAGTGATCATAATGAAAAAGGCGTTAATAAACTTTATGCACTAATGGGTTAAGAAACAATTTTATATCTTAATCTGTCGCACGGCACTTCATCCGCGCATAATTTAAAAAATTAGTAGCCTATGTGTTCATCCAGACTATGTTCTACTTCTGTGTCAAATTACATCGTGATACATACATCCATTCTCGAGATACATTCTAAATATTCATCCATCCATCCAAATGTTAGCATTTATAATATTAGTGAGATTGCTTTTAAAATTAAACTTAAGAACGAAGGCTATATTATGGTCAGTTTTAAGTAAACAACTTTAGTACATTGTAATGCGGATTTGCCTTTAAAATTTAAAAAGAAAGGTTATTTCCTGCCAGATATAAGTTCAACGTCTTGTAAGCCTTGTGAGTTTTAATACAGTATTCGTATATCTCGTAATTAATATTTCTCGTCTTTATATGCTTCACTGTATAACTAAATTTTATACGAACTAAACTAAAAAACTATGATGCTACAGCTACAGTTTTTTTTATAATGTTGCTCACTGTTTAGCTCAAGCTTTAGCTGTTAAAAAATATAGTATATTCGTTTAGTTCTAAAAAAAAAAAATTCTCTGATTTTTTTCTTGCTTCAGCTTAATTTTAATTGTGCATGACTTGGAATAAGGTGTTTTATTGTTGCAAATGCATTAATTTATTGTTTAAAAAATCTAATTTTACTGATAAAAAATAATATTTTTTTATATTTATTTTTCAGCAAATCGCTTTGTATCTGAAGTCGTTGGGAAGAACAAATAAAACTTTTTTTTTATAACATCTGCAAGCAAAAGTACAAATCTTCTTTACACTTTCCTTTTGTAAGAGCTTTTGTGTCACTATATTTGACTGCTTGTATGTGTAACCTTTGATGATATTTCATGTTTAAGATTTTTCCAAGATTTTTTAAATTTTTTCAAGTGATTTACTCAAGCAAAAAGTCCTTGCTTAAATGAAATGGAGTCTTTTCAGTTTGATTTTTAAAATTTAATGTATTTTACAAAGTTTTATAAGATGAAAAGACAACCTTTAAAATGGTAAACACCTCTGGTAGTATTAATTTTGACATGGCAACTTTAAAATTATAGGAGGTTATGTATTATGACTTTTGTAGTTTAAATTTCTTAGTATTTTTCTTCTATTATGTTTAAAGATCTTAAAATTGTGTTTAGATTTATTAAGTGGCTATCGTGGGTTAAGTTATATTCCACATTATAATTTTATTTTGTTTTAGTACAATTTCTTTGCACTGTTTTTCTTTTCTCAAATAGTTTTGCTCAAGGGATGTTTATATTTCTCTGTTGGTTTTGATTTTTTTGTTACATTGAAAAGACATTGTTGTGTATCTTTATTACATTTGAAGGCAGATTTGTTTCCCGCCAAAATTGAGCTTTGAGTGTTGCTACACCTAGAAATTTAAGTAATGCATTTAATTTGGAAATAGACATTGACATCTGTCAAATGTTGAAGTTCATAGATTATGAAATCGGGACGTTTTGTGTGACGAAAATCATGTGACGTATTGTCTATGCTTTAATGTAAACTTTAGTGTGCCTTTGGCAATATTAGCTGCCAGCGTTTTGTATTCACTCAAAGAATTGTATTTGTCATTTTCTTTTTCACAGAATAAAGAGCAATTCATTGTGTACTTAATTATTTTATTTAAAAGAAGCCCAAAATCATTCCCACATAGATATAAATCCTATTTTTATCACTCGCATGTTCTTTTGGGGAATCTGTGGCTCATGGGTTAAGCATTTGACTTATAAACAGGTCCTGGGTTCGAATCCTGCCTTGTACCAATGTGTTTTTCAATTTACATATGTATATTTATCCAACTTTCTGACGGTGAAAGAAAACATCGTGATGCAACCTGTACATATCTGAGAATGAACTTCAAAGATGTGAAGTCAACCAACCGGCACTGGGCCAGCATGGTTGACTATGGCTTAGTCACCCCTAAATTAGGGTAGGTTCAGAGCTCCTCGGTGATGTGTAGTGAGCTAAACATATGTTTATTGAAAAAATATATCTTACATCTGCAGAATATTGTATTTGAAATAATAATAAAACTTCGTATAATGGTACTAAAACTAAACTTTTATTATACAAATATTTAATAACTTATAAATAAAATTATTCAGCTTTAGATGCAGCTTCTGCTTCTTTCTGTTTCTCTAAATTCTCTCTCTCTGTTCTTCTATTTCGCCATGCGGTCATGTAAGAGCGGGGATGGATTGGGAAGAAACCAGAAAGACCTAATAAAATTAAGAAATTTTGTACAATGGTTTATGAGATTTTATTTTGTGGCAGAGCAAATGTGACTTAATCCTGGTCAATAGACAGTGCTGTTCACAGATGCACATGTCCTGCAATTCTTAGGTGACAAAACTAAAATTAATGTCATGCAGAGCATATTAGTTGTAATCATATGGTGGAGGGTATCAAATTATAAGAAGTTACAAAAGTTAATATTACTTAAAACAAAAACAGTTGGATTTTTTTTGTACTTTTCCCCATGTAGTTTTTCGATCTGGCTACACACCATTAATACAATGTGTCCCAAAATTTGTATATATACAAAACTACATTTTTAAACAGTTTTTTTTTCTGTCATAGCCACAACAGTGGCTAACCTCTAAAATGGCTGGATCAATTTTGATTGGACCTTTTTTGGCAGGTAGCTGATGTAGTAAGGAGTAATTTAGGCTATGGTTATTTAAAAAAAATCTCTTATTTTTTATTAAAAAAAACCAATTTTGTGAGTACTGTCCAATATCGCGCGGAGCTTAAAGACAGTATTTCACACTGACAAAGTTACGGGCATAGCTAGTTACAAATATAAAAAAAATACTTATCTACATAAACATAGAATCTTACCAAGTAATTCAGCTACAGGTGTTGTAACATGAGCTCCCTGACCGAGCCAGAACTTCATTCTCTCTAAGTTAAGGGCAACCAACTTCTCATTGTTGAAATTAGGCATTGGATCATATGAACCAAGTTGTTCTATCACTGGTTGGCTGTTAAGCCTTCTACGCTGAAACAAATACAATGATTAAAAAAGCAACCAAAAAGATAAGTTTGTAATAGGACAGACTTATCATTATTTCTCCACTTGCAGAAGAAATATAAAATGGATGTTAGAAATTAAATTCTTTTTTACTTTTTAAACTAACAAGGATCAAATGTAAGTAATGTTACATATCTTTATAACTATTTAATTATCATATATATGCCTACAAGTAGAGTAATAAGAGTAGTTATCAAAACTATCTTTAGAAATAATTCCATAAAAATATGCAAATTTTGAAATCAATAGCCTATATCTATATATTACGGGAACTACCCTTACTATATTTAATATGCTTTCATTGATAGTTTTAAAGATGTAATAGAGAGGGAAACATAAAACTACTTAAACTTACGTGGGTCACAGATATATGAAAAAATGGTCTATTAGTACATCCTTGACGTATTAATCGAATAGATTTTGCAGCTCTTGCAAAATATTTACCGGTTCCACTCGCAGGCGGAAGAGGCATTTTTAGTTTTAATAAAGTGAAACAAAATATTAAATAATATTTTTAATCATATGCGTTCATATATTTGACAGGTACCGATAACTATTTGACAACTAACCTAAAAGTTCGAACGTTCGGAAACATGGATTATCAAACTAAAATTTGTTTCAATTTCATCTATGATTTGTTTTTTTTGTTTCACAACAACTACAAAATTATTTAATGCATGTATTATTTGTATTGTCTGGAAATCAAAGACTGATTAACATTTACGTTTGAAAAAACTGCACAAAATGATACTTTCACAGGAAAATATTAAGGTATGGACCTTGCCGTGCCGTAGATACCTCCGAATTTACAACTTAATAAATGCCAAAGTAACTCCGTCTGTCTGTCTGCCTTTCCTTCTTTCACGCAAAAAGTAATGAACCGATTTAAATTAAATTTGGTAAACAGATAACCTAGATCCTCAGAAAGATCTACTTTTACTTTTTAACGCGAAAAAAGGGTTTTAAGGGGTTGAAAGTGGGGATGAAAATTTGTATCTAACTAGCGTCATTCTTCAGTTAGAAGCTTGAATCTTATTTTTACGCAGTAAACCCTTACATTTCCACTGTTGTATAAATACAACATTCCAAAAACCATAGATTTTATAGATTTTTTTTATTATTTTAAATATATGTATGTTAAACAACCCTATCCTTCCCATCGCTTCCCTTTTCTTCCCTCAGAGTTCTCTTCAGGGTTCTGTTCTGTTAACTCTTGTCCCTCCCCGGAGCACGGCGTATGCATAAAGCATTCCCCTTTAAAAAAATGGGTTCCTAGCATAGGATAGGTTACTTGATTCAACAAGTAACAAATATAAATTTTCAAAATCATCTCAGAACGAACTGACCGTCTCACGGTTATACAGTCGGAAAAGATTTGAAGAAAATTAGTTCCCTTTAGTATAAACGAACATAAAATAACATTGCAATAGTGAAGTGAAAAATGGTATTAGAAATAAGATGGCCATAATTTTAGCTTCATATTTTAATTAATAAAGTTAGAACAAGCAAATCACTTTATTTCCTATGTATTATAAATCTGTAAATGGCTCTTTTGAAAAAAAGTTACAAGTTCATAATAAATCTCTCTAACGTTTTTTTTATATTATAATTAAAATATGTACTTACGTCTGTATTTAAGAGAAATAGGCACAGATCACAGATTTTTATTTGCCAGAAACTAGACACATCTCTCGCGTTTCTTCTACATCCTTGTTCAACATGCATATCGATAACAACGTATAACACATCCCTAGCCTCTTCCCGATTGCAACCCGCTATGACCGACATAACTTCGACCTCACTATAGACAGAGATGCAAATATATGAATCACATACGAGCGAAGAGTACACACGATGTAAGTAGGTCACGGGATAAAAAGCATCTTGAAGTGACATTCTTAGATTTAAAGCGCTACATCGCTGAATTTCGGGAGAAATAGGAAGCTGTGTCGATACTCAAGGTTTAATTAATAAGAAAATTCACGCAGAGATTTACTAATTTTTGTCTACAAAGAGAGAATGATAATCGGCTTTAAGAACATTGTAATATTATTTCTTTTGAAGAGTGAAAAATGAGATAAAACAATGACTAACATTGTTTTATCTCATTTTTTCCCATCTTAGCACAATTCGTTTAACAGATACTCTTTTAGGTTTCTGTTCTTCAAATTCCATAACAACAATGTATGCAAGGGACAAATGTTCATACGTAAAACATGAGATCACGTCAGGTCCGGAGATCACATTATTAGAAATATCATCAAGATAGTCTTCAAAGTAAAGTGACATAACTTAATATTGCAGTTTTATTAAAAATAACTTTTATTATAAAATTTAATTAAATACCAGCTAAGAAAAAGTAGGTGCCTATGATGATAAAATCTAGGTCCTTTAACGTTCCTTAGATTTGAGTGAGAAACATTAGATAAGGTGCGTCAGACTTGCTACTCCGTTACAATGATTACGAGAGCAGTAAAAAAATGTCAGTGCCCTACACCCTATTTCGGATTTATTCAATTAACCGCAACCGTATCCGCGCGGTCGCTTCAGCGGCTGGAAGTGCTCCTGGCGCATGCGCGAGCGGCAGCGATCGATCCGCGCGCCTCCCGCCGCCGCCCGCCAGTGTCCGCGCGGCCGTCACGCAGTGCACAATGCGCTCCCACTGACGCGGGGGCAACACGTCAAGCTGTATCTCCGCGAGTACGCCGGGGAGGACGAGCGGCCGCCGTGCCGGGAGGACTGGCGCCGGCAGGAGTGGTCCGGCACGCGGAGCCGCCTGCCGCAGGTGGACCGCAGCCCCTCCCGCCGGAGCCCGTACCTCGCGCGCGATGACGAGCCCTCGCCGGCACCCGACGAGCGCGGCCGCTCGGCGTCCGCGGGAGCGCACCACCGCGCCCGCCCGCGCCCGCTCCGGTACCAGTCCCTCGAGCGGGACTATGACCGATCCTACGCGCCCCCGCCCCCGCCCGAGGACGACTACTACCGCCGCGAACCGCCGCCGCTTTTCCTCGGCGAGCTCCAATCACAGAATTCGGACCTGCAGCGGGAACTCGGGAACCTCAAGAAGGAACTGGAACTGACTAACCAGAAGCTCGGCTCCAGCATGCACAGCATAAAGACCTTCTGGAGCCCCGAGCTGAAGAAGGAGCGGGCGCTGCGCAAGGAGGAGAGCGCTAAGTACAGCCTCATCAATGACCAACTCAAGCTGCTCAACCAAGAAAATCAAGTACGTTATTTTATTAAAACTATACTTCTTCCTACTACCACATTCGTTTCATCCTTCTTCTCTTCATCTACTAATTTCCCTTCCAGTCTTCTAGTTATAAGAGTAGCGTCTCTATTCCATTTCCTAGTCTTTAGTCGGTTGTAATTTATTTTGGTTTATGAAAATTATTAAGACCATCCGATGTACTTTCTTTTTTCAGAAAAAGGCGTTTTGATGAACAATTAGAATGATTTTAATATCTACAACTACGGGAGCAAGCTACTTTTCACCACACGTAACCTTATTCAACAATTGTCCGTACATTTGCAGTTACTAGTCGTCCTACGCATGCTTGAAATCTATTCAAACT